GGATGGGTGTGGCACATTCTCTGAGGTCGGAGGTTGGACCACAGCTTCAGTTGAGGATGGTAGATCGGTTACACTTGTGGATTGGTTGATAAGTTCTTCTTTGGACTTCGTGTCTGGTTTATCATTCTGTGATACTTCGGATCCAGTTTCTTCAATGGCTTGTAAAGCTCCTCCACCAATCAGTTCAGGTTCTGGCTTAGGATCTTGAACTTCTTGAACTTGAGTTTCGATACTTTCTACTTTTGGTTCTGATCTATCTTGCTGTGATGGTTCGAGTTGTAAATGAGTATCAACTTCTGATTTCCCTTTAACGACTTCATCATTCTCTTTAGGATCATTAAGTGTAAGCAGGATCGGTAAAGGTTCTTGAATGTCACTCTTAAGTTTTTGACCAGGAGTACTATTCGGAAGTGAAACGTTTCGATCTACATTCGCTTTATTGATACTCACCGGCATAGATCTTGCACTTGCACTTGCACTACTACTTCTATTACGTATAATATCTTTACCCGTCACAGCAAAGATAGCAGCAGGAATAGCTGTAGCAGCTGCTCCGGCCATGGCTGAGACTACCGTTGAAACCGAAGTTTGAGCTGGAGTGGATTTCTCGGTTGGAGTACCTGGTGCGATGGTCGAACCTAAGAAACTTGGTGAATGATATGACGTATGACGTGATCTGGATTGTGAGATTAATGAATGGGTTCGACTGCCGATCATCGATTTGGTGGGAAGACGAGTGGATGGTGGAGTGGATTGAGATGTTGATGGGATTCTTTGAGGACTTTGGGTTGGAAAGACGGCTAAGAGAAATAGAGTATGTGAGTTAGATTAGGAATTCGGATTTCATGGAAGGAAAGAGATCAAACCTGTGTTGATGAGATCTTTGTCTTCTGTGGGTTCGGAGGTTTGATCGGCTTGAGAATCAAAGGTGTTGGGTTCAGGTTGTGATTCTTGATCTGAATGTTGCGATTCAGATGGAAGATATTCTGGAACTATTGAACATCAAGAAAGATGATTAGTCAAACTTATCAATGGAAATTTAAAGAGATGTTGTGATTGACCTTCAAAGACGTTATTGATGTTACCATTTGAATCAGTTTCGGTTGGTTCGTTTGGATTATGCCTCCATACTCCATCAATAATATACTATCAATCAATAGTCAAAGATATTAGATGAGTCAATGTGTGTATGAGAACGGAGTGGTTTGATTGATCACCTTGTATGAAACTCTTGAACCATGATCGAGTTCTATGGATCGACCGAATTTACCGGAAGGTTCTTTAATAAGCTCGAGTGAACTGGTTTAACAGATCGAATGAGAATCAGATTAGAACTCGGGTTTTGCAATGATTTGAGATTTGAAAGTTAAAGAGACTAACGATTGCCATTGATCGAATGAACCTTTGATCAAGACTTGTTGAGGTACTGAGCTATCCCTTTGATTTGAAAGAAAGCATATCAGAAAGATGTGATGTGAAGTGAAAGAGATGATGTGATGGGTTGACTGACCATCTAAACTGATGATGATAGTGATGAATTGGTTGATGTTCTTGATCAGATGAACTCATTGTAGTTTGATGTTTGATTTGATTTGTTCTTGAGTTTGATGAACTAGTTGATGATGAAGTCTGAAGAGTAAAGTGTGAAGATTGAAAGTGAATTTCCAAACTGTCAATGCTAATGCTACACAATTCACTCTCACCAATCTTCCATCGTCATCACGATCCATTCTCATTCTCATTCTCATGTCAATCACTTTTCTCAATCTCATCACCATAGAACTCTTAGAGCATCCACTATCGTTACAGTAAATTTTCAGTAAATTTACTGGTCGTGTCCGTAAAGTACAGCGTCTGTACGTACAGAAACACGGAATTCCACTATCGTTTCTGTAAACACCATTCTGCATAGGGCTGTGACCCGGCCCTGAGAGTTCGTGGCCGGCCCCGGGGCCAAGCCCGACCCTGGGTAGACCCGAGGTCCCCTGGAAACTTCTCAGGGCCGACCAGGGCCTGCCCGAATCTCAGGCCTTGGGTGTCCAGGCAGGGCCGGGCCCAGATTTACGAGTAAAAAACCCTTGGAAAGGGGAAATTTTTATATTATTTTTGGCGAAAACAGGATCGGGCAGTCGGCCGGGCCGGGCGCCCGGGGCGCCCGCAGGGCTTTGCACCCTATTCTGATTAGGTTTCAGAGCCCCGAGGCCGGGACCGCCGGCGTTGAAAATATTGCCGGTCACCTTCGGCCGGGCAGGGCCGGGACCGGGTCACAGCCCTAATTCTGCAGCATTCTGTACAGTGGATACTGTACAGAAAAGGCCTGGTCCCACAATCGTGCCTCCAGTAAAGAATCTGCAAGTCTGTTCAGACCTTGGCTCAAACACCAACAGCATTGTCCAATTATCCAGATTTACAAGATGCTGAGATCCATTGTTATCTGATGAATGATCTCAATGTTCACAACTGGGTGGCACAAGGGAACAATATTTGGACACTGTTTACTCCATTTCATTGACTCGATGCCTCCGATTCCACTTTTCTTTACAAACTACCAGGAAGAAAAAGAGATAACAAGCAATGAAATGATAACAAATATTTGATAAGAGAAATATATCTTGAGTGATTGATTTGCGATTACATTGTATGATGACATTGCAAAATCACACGATGTTTTCATTTGGTGAATTCATTCTGATTTATGAAACTGGATTGATCAGAAGGTGAAAGAGTTGAGTTGAAAGAGTTGATTGATGAGAAAATGAACATGTTGATTGATGAGAGGATAAAAAAGTTGTTTGATGAGAGCTTGAAAAACTTGATTGATGAGAGGGTGATTGAAATCAAAGAATATGTGATGGTAGAGGGTGCTTTTGGGCAAGGTGGTGATGGATCTCGATGGATTCGCTCGATCGATGAGAGGGAAAACGAGATGTTTGAGGCGAGCACGGAAAAGTTGATCATCAAGGGGGTGATTGAAGTCAATAGGTATGTGACAGAGATGGTGGTGTTGAGTGAGGTGGTGATGGATTTGCTCGGTAGATTCTGTAGATTTGCTGGATACCGATTCGGTAGAGAATCTGCAGAGGTCCAGTAGATTTACTGGAGCTCTACAGATTTTTGACCGATTCTGTAGGTACCGATGTGTACTTTGTACACGATTGGGGATTTTGAGGATCGGTACTGTAAATTTCAGTAAAATTTACCGTACCGAGGCCGTTTACAGAGACGATAGTGGATGCTCTTACAGCTGCTAAAAAAATTATCGGTAAATTTCCCATATTTTGTTGCACAGGGTTTTAACTACAAAACGGACAAAACCACAGGATGACCCTGAGAGACCTGTAAAAGTTGTCTCTCCCCTGTCTTGTAGCTGGAGCCGCTATATGTGTCAATATGTCAATCGAATCACCATAGACAGCTTATGGAAGGGCTCCCGGTTCCTTCCATCGACTTCAATATCTCACTCACTCGGTCTGAATCACCCTTTCCTCTCTCTCTTGACCAATCTCCCCCTTCATCCGGCTCTATTCTCTAAATTTGATCCGGTGAGTTGCCCTTCTTACATTTCAATCTTGACTCTCTCTAATTCACGACCAACTTCGCCCCTAAATAGGTTCGAAACCACTGCATTCCATCGTTGGATCCAATTCCTTCAATAGCTTGATCAATTTGATTCCACCTTTCTTTCAATTTGGTTCCACCTTTCAAATTGATTCTATCTTTTCATTCAATTCCACTTTTCAAATTGATTCGATCTTATCAAATCAATTCCACCTTTCAATTCAAAACTATCTTATCGATTTGTTTCCACCTTTCAAATCAATTCTATTTTATCAATCCTGATTGACATCTTTCGAATTGATATCATCATTTGTTCGAAAACATCAAGGTACGTCCTTTCAAGACATCCTTCCCATCCCTTTCCCACTTCACCCTTTTGTGATGTCTGAATTTCTTCTGGTTGCTGGTAGACTGGGGAAAAGAAAGCAATTAGAGATAACTGGGTGTGGATTCCAAATGTGGGACGATACACACCCGTAGTCTCTGATGCAAGCCTTTTCCCCATTCTATGGGCACAGAACAAGTTTGGAATCATGGCTGGCATCAAATTCTCATGACTGACACGGCTTCTTGATATCTTGATGTTTTGTTTTCTTTGTTCTAGATGCCAACTAACCTGTACAGCGCTGATATCAAATTTGTAGTGGTCCGGATGGCACTTCGTGGAATTTCATATCGCAAAATCATCACAACCCTGGGTGTGGGAATATCGCTGACTTCGGTTTGGCGGTGGTTCGATCTCTACCAGAGAACTCGTGCAGTGGTCACCAACCCTGCGGATTATATGACACGAGGTGCTCCTATATATCTAGCTCGTGCTGAGCAGGAGTTTATTCTGGAATCGCTCCGACTAGATCCAACTCTCTATCTAGATGAATTACAAAAGAAACTTCAAGATCGATTTGACATTGAAGTGTCCACAATGACTCTCTCGAATGAGCTGCGAAAACGACTGAAGTGGACCCGAAAGAAGGCTCGCACAGTGCACCCCAACCAATCCATGGTTGCTCGAGGAGCCTATATTGCTTCTGTTCATGGGATTGACCCGCGATGTTTAGTGTTTACAGGTGTGTTATTTTATTTGTTCTTCTTGCACATACTTGCTCTGACACATTCGCGCTTTCCACCTTCACCAGATGAAAGCGCCATCACCAAGCGCCGATTATATCGGGATTACGCCCGAGCGCCAGTTGGCGAACGGTCTGTCCGGCTGGAGAGGCCCACTGCGGCGGTTCGATGGTCGGTCTTACCAGCGATATCCATGGATGGAATCATCGCTTGTAAGATTCAGATGGGCGGTTATTCACGTATTGACTTTGAATCATACTTGGAGCACGATGTAGTAAGTGTTTTCGTTTATTATACATTATATACTTTACTTCATATAGTCTGATATTGTTTTTTTGAACAGTTACCGGCCATGAACGCTTGGCCGGCCAGGAATTCCGTATTGGTCATGGATAATGCCCCTATCCACCACGGGGGTAGGGTGGCAGAGCTCTGTGAGGCTTGTGGGGTGCGACTGTTGTATCTGCCAACTTACAGCCCAGACTTCAACCCTATCGAAAAAGGGTTTTCCGTTCTTAAGGCACGTTTAAGAAGATCTCAAGCCCTTCAAGGAGCCATGACCTTAGACAAAGAAATGGCTGCTATTTTCATAACGGCTATGGAAGTTCTCACACCTTCCCTCTGCGAGAGCCTCTTTCGAGGCTGCGGCTATCTCTAATCATTAAAAATTTTGTTTTTGCCGACTTTCAGTAAGTAGTTCAGCTCTATTCTTGGTAGAACGTGTCATTCATATTGAAGTCAACTGTATTTTTAGAAAAAATTCTCCTGCTTTCTGTGGTTCAGCTCGGTTCTTTCTAGAACGTGTCAAATTTTAGATTAATCTCTTTTTAAAAAACCTAAAAATTTATTACTTTCAGTTGGCCATTCTAGAAAGAACGTGAGATGTTTTTATGCATCTTAGGATGTGATGTGTTAATAACGAACAACCAACTTTCACTTGTTCAGCTGTGTTCTTTCTAGATTGGGTCTTTTTTTTATTCATCTCTTCTTTTTTTAATTTGAGTTGCTAGAAAGAACGTAACCACTGTTTTTATTCATCTCAGTTAGTTGTTCAGCTCTGTTCTTTCTGGAACGTGTCTTGTTTTTTATTCACCTCACTATAATCAATTTGATTAAACCTTTGAATTTAAACAATAATTTGTTATGTTCATTCTGCTTCCAGTGTGGAGTTGTCGGTCTTTGATCCTTCAAACTTCCTCCATGATCATTGCCTAAAAGATTTGCAAGATAGAGAGAGATTGTGATTCATTTGCAATTAAAATCAAGCTGCATCAGATATAACAAGATTGAAGTAAAGATTTGTTTGCTAAGTTCTTTTTTGTAAATTTGTATATTCAAGGATCCCACTATTTTCCGCCCCTTTCGCGGATACCCGGAGCCCCCTTGTTTTGGGGCATTACCCGAGATACCCGAGACAACCCGAGTACACTCTGCCAAACTTTTGGTGAGTCGGACCTCGAGGGCGCTTTAAGGGCGCCTTACGTAAGCACGTCCTCACACTTGAGCCCCTTTCCCATGTCTTGAGCCCTACTTTAACCAAAAGGGCGATAAACTCTATGATGCCCCCTCCAAAAGCGGAAAAGGGGCTCATCATTAATTGTGCGCCTCGAAAGA